GGCAATCAAAGCCAAAATTAACAAATGGGATTACTTCAAATTGAGAAGCTTCTGTATTGAAAAAAAAAAAAAAAAAAAAAAAAACAGGGAAAGTGGCAACTGACAAAATGGGAGAAATAATTTGCAAACTATGCAACTGATAAAGGATTAATACCCAGAATATACAAAGAGATCAAGAATCTCAACAACAAAACAAACAACCCAGTTAAGAGATGGGCCAAGGATTTAAACAGACATTTTTCTTTTTCTTTTTAAGATTTATTTATTTATTTGAAAGTCAGAGTTACACAGAGAGAGAAGGAAAGGCAGAGAGAGAGCGAGGCCTTCCATCTGCTAGTTCACTCCCCAACTGGCCACAATGGCCGAAGCTGCGCTGATCCGGAGCCAGGAGCCAGGTGCTTCTTCTGGGTTTCCCACCTGGGTGCAGGGGCCCAAGCACTTGGGCCATCTTCTAGTATTTTCCCAGGCCACAGCAGAGACCTGGATAGGAAATGGAGCAGCCGGGATTCGAACCAGCACCAATATGGGATGCCAGCACTGCAGGTAGCGGCCTTACCCACTATGCCACAGCGCTGGCCCCTAAGCAGACATTTTTCAAAAGAGGAAATCTAAATGCCAACAGACACATAAAAAAAAAATTCTCAGGATCACTAGCCATCAGGGAAAGGCAAATCAAAACCACAATGACATTTCATCTCATCTCAGTAGAATAGCTTTCATACAAGAAATCAACAGACAACAAATGCTGGTCAGGATGTAGAGAAAAAGGTACCCTAATCCACTGTTGGCAGGAATGTAAACTGGTAAAGCCACTAAAGAAGACAGTATGGACATACCTCAAAAATCTATCATATGACCCAACCATCTCACTCCTGGGAATTTACCCAAGGGAAATAAAATCAGTAAATTAAAGTTATCTGCACCCCCACATTTATTGCAGCCCAATTCACAATAGCGAAGACATGCAATCAACCAAAACCCGTCAACCAAAAACTGGATAAAGAATTTATAGGACAGGCCGGCGCCGCGGCTCACTAGGCTAATCCTCCGCCTTGCAGCGCCGGCACACAGGGTTCTAGTCCCGGTCGGGGCACCGGATTCTGTCCCAGTTGCCCCTCTTCCAGGCCAGCTCTCTGCTGTGGCCCGGGAGTGCAGTGGAGGATGGCCCAAGTCCTTGGGCCCTGCACCCCATGGGAGACCAGAAGCACCTGGCTCCTGGCTTCAGATCAGCGTGGTGCGCCAGCCGCAGTGCACTGGCTGCGGCGGCCATTGGAGGGTGAACCAATGGCAAAGGAAGACCTTTCTCTCTCTCTCTCTCACTGTCCACTCTGCCTGTCAAAAAAATAAAAAAATTATAAGACATGTACACTATGGAATACTACACAGCAGCTTAAAAAAATGAAATCCAGTCATTTGCAACACAATGGATGAATCTGGAAAACATCATACTTAGTGAAATAAGCCAGTCCCAAAGGGACAAATATCACATGTTCTCCCTGATCTTTGAGAACTAATGGAGCACCTAAAATAAAATCTGTAGAACTGAAATTGACACTTCGAGAAGGGATGACTTGAGCTGCCTGTGTCTTAACTGTTGAGGAACATTTCTTTATTTTTTTTTTTCACTTTTTTTCTTCGTACTCTTTGTTGAACTCTTAACACAGAGTTACTCATATGTGTATAAAGTCAATTGAGGATGGATCTCAAAAAAATAAGAGAGGAAGGAGGAAGTTTATAACTATAAAGCTGTATAGTTCTGCATACATTCCTACAGACTTACATGAGACCCCAAATCCCATTAAGCTGGGCGGTAAAAATGCCATCTTAAGCGTTAAGGTGATCAAATTAAATGTTAAAGTGAACATATAGATAGGATTCACTGTTAAAGTGATCATATAAATAGGATCAAGTGTCTGGTAATAAGATAGAATTATGCAGCGGAGGATGGCCCAAGTCCTTGGGCCCTGCACCCCATGGGAGACCAGGAGAAGCACCTGGCTCCTGGCTTCAGATCAGTGCTATGCGCCAGCCGCAGCGCGCCGGTCGCGGCGGCCATTGGAGGGTGAACCAACGGCAAAAGGAAGACCTTTCTCTCTGTCTCTCTCTCTCTCACTGTCCACTCTGCCTGTCAAAAAAAAAAAAAAAAAAATAGATAGAATTAAAAAGGAGAAAATGTTCCAACACGGATAGCAGTCCACACAGCAGACTCAGATTGAGAATCGCTTTAAGTAACACTCTGAGCTCAGAATTAGCCCTTAAGGCTTCCTAGTCTGGCTGAAAAGCCTGTGTGAGCATTTCAGGCATGGAAAGCAAGACACTACGGCCAAGAATGTTCTACATGCAGATCTCTTGTGAGACCCCAGTGTAAAGTGGCCATCAAAGAAGGATGTACTTTTCTCTAAAGAGAGGAGAGAATTTCCACTTTGCTTATGGCCTTATCTCAAAACTGATGGAATTTGTGGACTCAAAAGGCTGCCCTAGCCTAGGCAGCTCACGTCAAGATCCTCGGGTAGTCACTGACGTCATACATGAGAATGTTAATTGTTGGGGGCATATGCTGTGGTTCAGCGGGTAAAGCTGCCACCTGCAGTGCCAGCATCCCATATGGGCACTGGTTCTAGTCCCAGCTGCTCCACTTCCGATCCAGCTCTCTGCTATGGCCTGGGAAAGCAGCAGAAGATGGCCCAAGTCCCTGGGCCCCTGAACCCGTGTGGGAAACCCAGAAGAAGCTCCTGGCTCCTGGCTTCAGATGGGTGTAACTATAGCCAGCTGGGGAGGGAAGCAGCAGATGGAAGACCTCTCTCTCTCTCTCTGCCTCTCCTTCTCTCTGTAACTCTTTCAAATAAATAAATAAATCTTTAAAAAAAAAAAAGTGTTAATTGTTAAATTAACAATAGGAGTCACTATGCACTAACTCCCAATGCAGGACCTCTGTCCTGAATGAGTTATATGATGAGAGTTAACTATAAAACTAGTTCTCAAAGTTTTTTTGTGTGTGAGTATGTGTGCAAATTGTTGAAATCTTCACTTAGTATAGAGTTGGTTTTCTGTGCACAAAGTTAATTGAAAATGAATCTTAATGGAGAATGGGACTGGGAATGGGAGAGGCAGGAGGAGGAAGGGTGGGAGGGCAGGTATGGTGGGAAGAAATCACTACATTCCTAAAGCTGTACTTATGACATTTGTATTCCTTAAAAAATAAATTAATTAATCTTAAAAAAGAAATCACATCTGCCAAGTAGTACTACCCACCCCTCCACCCCAGTCGGTACCAGACTGACACCCTTTCAGGAGAGTGTTTAATGGTCAAGTCGTGTTCTTCGGAAAAACTCGTATTTGAGTGGCAAAGAAAATGTTCACAGAGGTCAGCCTTGCAGGGGAGCCAGTAGCTGCCTCCTCCTGTAATGCCGCATCACATACAGGCACCTGTTCAAGTCCTGGCTTCTCCACTTCCAATCCAGCTCTCTGCTAATGCACCTGGGTGCACTCATGTGGGAGACCCGGAAGAAGCTCCTGGCTCCTGGCTTTGAAGGGGCCCAGCTCTGGCTGTTGCAGCCATTTGAGGAGTGAACCAGTAGAAGACAGAACCCCCCCACCCCTCTACCTCTCTTTGTAACTCTTTAAAATAAATAAATCTTTAAAAAAAAAAAAGCTTACAACCCATAATCATAGACAATAGAAGCTGGTCTTCTGAACATACCCAGCTAGTGGCAAATTCTCTAGGCTACTCTGGGGGTGAAGGGGAGAGCTGAGAATGCCACAGAACAGAACGATCAAGCAACTACATCGCTCAAGGGCCACACTGAAAATAAGGGAAACAGATGTTGAGAATTAGAGCTTCAGCATAAACCATTTAGTGATCTCTCCTTAATTTGAGTGAGGACAGGAACCATGCAAGCAAGCTTTTCCTCTGTTACCAGGTTTCTCATCAGTGCACCTAATTCTGATTCGCTGCTTCCCAACCTATCTCCAAAGACCTGGTATTCTCTCTCTCTCTCTCTCTCTCTCTCTCTCTCTCTCACACACACACACACACACACACACACACACACACACCCCTTGTGCCACAACTCATTATTCAAGAGAGGCAGAAATGTAACACTTCAGAGTATGCATCCTGATAGGTGATGACATGTCCTGGCCACCTATCAAGGAGACGGTGCAAAATTAAACCCACCAGCACAACCTAGGAAGCTTTCAGTGTTGACTGTAAACCCTCTCTTTCAACTTAGACAGGTTTTTCCTTTCTTCTCTGACTCTCCCATTTTGAGATAAGCAGACAGAAGCTTTCAAAAGCACGTCTTATTCCATGAGACCAGGTGAAAACCAGTGCCATCTAATGCAGTGTGTGTTTTAATGGGGCTTATTTTAAACCTGTCTACCTCTGTAGGGCAAAAAGTGAGCTTGAAAGCGTATAGACGACCACTTGTCCTCAACCTTTTTCTGAAGTCAAAGCAATTAGGCCCAATGCGACTGTCCTGAACACGTCAATCGAAGTCACAGGGGAAAACGCAGTATTTCTAAAAAAATTTCATCCACACTCAATGAGAGGTGTGAGGGCAGCCAGGAAAGCATGGCGACGGAGATAGCCGGCGTCGAAGGAGTCAGCTACTTGAGACTACGTCGGGACAGGGCCGGGACCCCATCAGTGCTACTTGTCCCGGCCAATGTCTCCCCGTGGCGCATTCGCCACATGCCGTCCAACAAACTGTTTTCCTCTTTTGAAAGGTTTACGGCGAGAGCAAAAGGGGCTGAAGGGAAGCAAGGGGGCGATGCCTGGGCTCTGTTGCACCACGGAATGCTGGAAAACGTGTAGCTGTTTACTAGCAGCGCCCGAGAGCCGCCGAGCGCAGCGCGCAGCTGAGCGCACCCCTCCGGGCTGACCCCGCCTCCCCCACCATCCCGGCGCCTCAGGCTGAGGGCACCACGCGCCGCCAGCCCTCCCCACGGACCCCCGCGCGCCGGCCCCCAGGGCATGCCCCCCGCCTGCCCCAAGTTACCTCGGAGGCCCGGGTTGTCATCTCTGGCTCGAATCTTTCGGATTTTGACTGGGCGCCCGCTCAGGGTGGAAAGGACCAGACGCTGGCGCAAGAAGTTGCACCCCGCGTAGCTGAGGGAGTGCGTCTGGGTCGCCATGTGCTCGCCCTCTTCAGAGGCACCGGAGGCCCGGGCGTGGCGACTTCAGACCAGAGCCGGGGTCGCGACCCCGGTGGCAGAGGCGACAGCGGCAGTGGCGGCCCTAGATACCTCCCGCAGCCCCGCAGCCCCGGCGCGTCCACGTGGTTTGGAACAGGAAGACGGAGAGACAAGACACCGGGTCAGAGGGGAGTGGGGCGGAGCTAGTGGCTACCACCCCGCCTCCCCACCCAGCTGGGGGCGGCCCCTGCGCCGCACCACGCTACTACTGGTCCGCGCAGAATAAGGGTGGTACCCATAGCACGCCGTCATTGGCCCGAGCTGTAGTTGGGCGGTGCCTAGGCCGCACTGCCATTGGCCCGTAGTGCAGCAGGGCGGTGCCCGGACCCCGGCAACAGCGCGCAGCGGGAGGGAGCGCGGGAGGGCGGCTCCCAGGTCCCGGGAGTCTCTTCGGCGTTACCCCCTGGAGTGGGAGCTGAGGGGAGCGAGAGGTTGGGGGTGGGTGCCTTCGATGTGCGACCCCAGGCGTGAGGATGGTGCTGTCCCCTTCCCCTCAGCCAGAGGTGGGCACGCTGGAGGCTGGAGGCCCCCTAGCCGCCGCTATATCCCCGGGAGCTGGTGCCGCGCGGTTCTTAGACCCGGGGAAAGACTCGAGGAAAATGTCGAAGCTGGCAGTGGACTCGGGTGTTCGCAAGCCGGCCTTTACTTATTTATTGTGAAACACCTCGCTTTGCCCTGCCATTGTGTTCACTGCGCACCATGCCGAGTGCGACCCTCCTGCTCCGCGGGCCTCACTGCACGTTTCCCTCTTTGCCATGCTTCTCCCATCCTGCACTCTAACGTCTGGCGGAAAACTGAATTATTTCACGCTTCTAAATAATCTTCAAAGATGCTTAGTTAATTACGAATGCCCTGTTTATATCCTTTCAGCTCTTATTATTGTGAAGGCAAACCTGCTGAATTGTCTTTCACCTGCACGTGCATCTTTGTACCCGAGGGATCCTCCCACCTGCCTGGAAACTCAGCAAACCAACAGAGATCGGGAATGAAGACCCCCAAAGTCTTCAGCTAATGACTTATGGGAGCTGATACATAAATAGCCCAGTTCCTGAAACTCTTGGGTGAGACAACGCTAGAATGGAGATTCTACACTGTTTCCCCCAGGGGTCCCCGCGGGTTTAATAAGCTCCAGTTGCCCACACTGGTGACTTGTTTAAGAATCTTGCTGGCTACTTTCCCTCCCCTGTAGCACTCCCCAACTCCCTTCTGATAATGTCCAGGGATTAACTTTCAAATAAACTACTTGCACTCAAAACCTTGCCTCAAGGTCTTTCTGGGCAATTCCAAAACAAATCCTGACTTAAAATTTGAGAACTGAGGCTCAGAAAAAACAAGTGACTTGCTTAAAGTGATGTAGACAATAAATGCAGAATCACAATAGAAACTCTTTCTCTGTCTCCCGTCCCACTCTGTATGTATGTATGTATACACACAAAAGGTCTCCAAAGTTCATGCAAAGTGCATATTGTGAAGAAATTATACATGAATTTCAAAATTTTTGCACAGTGACTGGCATTGTGGCATAGCAGGTAGAGTAGTCTCCTGCAGTGCTAGCACCCCATATGGTTGTTTGTTCAACTCCTGGCTGCTCCACTTCCCATCCAGTTCCCTGCTAATGCACCTGAGAAAGCAGTAGAAGATGGCCCAAGTCCTTGGGCCCCTGCACCCACATGGGAGACCCAGAAGAAGCTCCTGACTCCTGGCTTTGGCATGGCTCAACCCTGGCTGTTGCATCCATTATGGGAATGAACCAGTGGAGGGAAGACCTTTCTGTGTCCCTCTCTCACACTGTAACTGCCTTTCAAATAAATAAATAATTTCTGTACCAAAATAAACTTTTCTTTTAATTCTATTTTCCACAAATTTTTTGAATCTAGTATATAAAAATGTATGAACGTACATGTATAGAACCCTGAACCTTCAACAAAAAGTTCATCAGAAGTCTGCTAGCATGAGGTGGCCATGCCACAGGGCACAGGGCACAGGGCACAGGGCACAGGGCACAGGGACCACACACACTCTCTCACACACACACACACTGCTAGCTGACAGCCAGCATCAACTGCCAGAGTAGGGAGATTTCAGATGATTCCAGTCACCAGCTGGCCTCCAACCACTCTTTGGAGCCACCATAGCTGATGCCCAGATGGAGCTATCCCCATATGGATCCCAGATGAGCTTTCCCCTTTAAGCCCTGACCAAATTGCATATCCACAAACCAAGTAAATGATTGTTACTCTTTTAAACCATGGATTTAGGGGTAGCTTGTTACACAGTAATAAATAACAGAAGGGGCCGGCGGCTGTGGCACAGTGGGTTAATGTCCTGGCCTGGAGCGCTGGCATCCCATATGGGTGCCGGTTCGAGACCTGGCTGCTTCACTTCCTGTCCAGCTCTCTGCTATGGCCTGGGATAGCAGTGGAAGATGGCCCAAGTGCTTGGGCCCCTGCACTCACGTGGGAGACCCAGAGGAAGCTCCTGGCTCCTGGCTTCAGATCGGCGCAACTCGGGCCATTGCGGCCATTTGGGGAGTGAACCATCAGATGGAAGATCTCTCTCTCTCTCTCTCTTTCTCTCTCTCTGCCTCTCTCTGTGTGTAACTCTGACTTTCAAATAAAATAAATAAATCTTAAAAAAATTTTAAAAAAAGATTGGCTGTGGTACCTTTGTATTGTTTCAGTTTAAATAAACTAGAGCTACATATCCCTGAATAGTTCTGTATTAGCAAACCACACAAAAAAAAAAAAAAAAAAAAAACACATTGCATGAGATTATTAAGGTCTCCTAAGAGCAAGGCTCTGGGCAAGGACTGTAAGTCTACACCTCATTTGGCCTTTACACCAACCAGCTCAAAAGCTGGATTCACAGCAAATGGGAGTATAGTACACTTTTCTCTATTTCTGTTTCTATTTTAAAGTGTCCATTACACATATTGTAAGCCATTCACAAATTCTCCCTTCACATTAAGTGATAAATGACATATTTTTTACCTTGTAATTGCTTCCACAAATATTTCCATGTTTCTAAAAACAAATGCCTCCTTGGTTCAGTCACAGAGCATTGGATTTAGGGACCAAAGCAGGAATGAATTCTTCCAGATCCACAGAGATAGTTACTTTCCCAAGACGACACTTCCACAGACTCTGCTATCACCATTTTCTTTGTTCAAACTGTCATGGATCCAAGGGCTTTTTCCCACAGAAGTCTGGAACTAATGCTTATACTGTACCAGTTTTAGGATGAGTTCCTATGCCCAAAAATCCTCTTCCAAGCCTTGACAACAACTACCCACAACTACAACTTTGCATATATACTGTTTTTGTTGTTGTTATTTGTTTGTTTATTTATTTGGACAGGCAGAATTAGACAGTGAGAGAGAGAGAGAGACAGAGAAAAGCCTTCCTTCCATTGATTCAACCCCTAAATGGCCTCTATGGCTGGCGCGCTGCACCAATCCAAAACCAGGAGCCAGGTGCTTCCTCCTGGTCTCCCATGAGGGTGCAGGGCCCAAGCACTGGGGCCATCCCCCACTGCACTCCCGGGCCACAGCAGAGAGCTGGACTGGAAGAGGAGCAACTGGGACAGAATCCAGCGCCCCAACTGGGACTAGAACCCGGGATGCCAGCGCCCCAGGTGGAGGATTAGCCTAGTGAGCCATGGCGCCGGCCGCATATATACTGTTTTATAGTCTGTGTTGCAGTCTCTCTAATAACATTTTGTGATTCAGTGGTGGCAGGATCTGTGTCCTCTCATTTACAGCAAACAGAGTATCTTAAAAAAAAAGATTTATGTATTTATTTGCAAGGAGAGGGAGAGGGAGAGAGAGAGAGAGAGAGAGAGAGAGAGAGAGAGAGAGATCCATCTTCCATCAGCTGGTTCACTCCCCAAATGGCTGCAATGGCCAGAGCTGGACCAATCTGAAGCCAGGAGCCAGGAGCTTCTTCCAGATCTCCCTCAAGGGTGCAGGGTCCCAAGCACTTGGGCCATCTTTCACTGCTTTCCCAGGTGCATTAACAGGGAGCTGGATTGGAAGTGGAGCAGCCAGGACTTGAATTTTTGCCCATATCAGATGCTGGTGTGCAGCAGGTTTACCCATTACACCATAGCGCTGGCCCCCAGAGAGAGTATCTTATAATTGCAATATCAGTGCTTAGCATCCAGTAGGAGTTCAATGAAAGTATAACTAAAATTAATTTCTTTTTTAAGATTTGTTAATTTATTTGAAAGGCAGAGTAAAAGAGACAGGGACACACAAAGAGGAAGAGAGAGAGAGAGAGAGAGAGAGAAAGAGAGACAGAGACAGAGACAGAGACAGAGAGCGGGAGCTTCCATCCACTGATTCACTCCCTAAATGGCTGCAACAGCCAGGGCTGGGTTATTTATTTATTTTTTTTTTAATGAATATAAATTTCCAAAGTACGACTTATGGATTACAATGGCTTCCCCCCCATACCGTCCCTCCCACCCACAATCCTCCCCTTTCCCACTCCCTCTCCCCTTCCATTCACATCAAGATTCATTTTCGATTATCTTAATATACAGAAGATCAGCTTAGTATACATTAAGTAAGGATTTCAACAGTTTGCTCCCACACAGAAACATAAAGTGAAAAATAATAGATGATTTTTTTAAATGATGAAATCAGATCAGACCTATTGTCATGTTTAATCCCAGTGAGAGTCAAGTTGGGAATTGATAATTTCTTTTTTTTTTTTTTTACAGAAGATCAGTTTAGTATACATTAAGTAAAGATTTCAACCGTTTGCACCCCCATAGAAACACAAAGTGAAATATACTGTTTGAGTACTCGTTATAGCATTAAGCCTCAATGTACAGCACGTTAAGGACAGAGATCCTACATGAGGAGTAAGTGCACAGTGACTCCTGTTGTTGACTTTACCAATTGACACTCCTGTTTATGGCATCAGTAATCTCCCTATGCACCAGTCATGAGTTTCCAAGGCTATGGAAGCCCCTTGAGTTCTCCGACTCTTATCTTGTTTAGACAAGGTCATAGTCAAAGTGGAGGTTCTCTCCTCCCTTCAGAGAAAGGTACCTCCTTCTTTGAAGACCTGTTCTTTCCACTGGGATCTCACTCACAGAGATCTTATTGAGCCAGGGCTGGGTTATGCCAATGCCAGGAGCCAGGAACTCCATCCAGGTCTCGCAAATGGGTGGCAGGGGCCCAAGCACTTGGGCCATCCTCTGCTACATTTGCAGGTGCATTAGTAAGAAGCTGGATTGCAAGTGATTGAACTGGCACCCATATAGGATACCAACATGGCAGGTAGCAGCTTAACCCAATGCATCACAATGCTGGCCCCAGAATTAATTTCTTATTAATTGAAAGAGAAGCCTAGGCTGAATCAGTGAACTCAAAAATACCTAAGCCTTCAGTTCCAAAATTTTTACTATTCATCAAAATTATCAGGAGAGCTTGTTAAAACTCAGATTGTGGGGGGCCGGCGCCGTGGCTCACTTGGTTAATCCTCCGCCTGTGGTGCCAGCATCCCATAAGGGCACCGGGCTCTGGTCCCAGCTGATCCTCTTCCAGTCCAGCTCTCTGTTGTGGCCTGGGAAGGCGGTGGAGGATGGCCCAGGTGCTTGGGCCCTGCACCCGCATGGGAGACCAGGGGAGGCACCTGGTTTCTGGCTTCGGATCCCCGTGGTGGCCATTTTGGGGGTGAACCAATGGAAGGAAGACCTTTCTGTCTCTCTCTCTCTCTCTCTCTCTCTCACTGTTTCAAACCAGCCGCTCCACTTTTGATCCAGCTCTCTGCTATGGCCCAGGAAAGCAGTAGAAGATGGCCCAAGTGCTGGGGCCCCTGCACCCGTGTGGGAGAGCCAGAAGAAGCTCCTGGCTCCTGGCTTTGGATCAACCCAGCTTCTGCCTTTGTGGCCATTTGGGGAGTGAACCAGAGGATGGAAGATCTCTCTCTCTCTCTCTCTCTCTTTCTCCCTTTCTCTCTTTCTCTCTGTCTCTCAGTAACTCTGCCTTTCAAATAAATAAATTAATTTTAAAAAAGTAGACCAAAACATCCCAAATTTGATTAAGCACACAAATCTATGCATCTAAGAAGCTCAATAAATTACAAGCAGGATAAACTCAAAGACATCCAAACCAAGGCACAACAGAATCAAATCTTGGAAAAAATGGGAATCTTGAAAATGAGAAAAGAGATAATCCACTTATTGTACATGGGATCCTCGATAAAGTCAACAGATAATTTCACATCAAGAACCATGAAAGTCAAAAAGAAATGGGAAGACGTAGTCAAAGTGCTAAAAGAAAAAACACCCCCTGTCACTCAAAAACTCTAGCCAACAAAATTATCCTTAAAATATGAGGGAGAAAGACACTCCCAGTAAACAAAGTTTCTGTAGACCTACACTACAAGAAATGCCAAAGAGAAGTCTCAGGCTGAAATGAAAGGACAGTGGAGAGTAACAAAAAGAACAAGAGTAAAGGTAACTACAAATATAAATATTAATGACAGTATCCATATATTTTTTTCTAGCAACCTCTCTTTTTTCCTATCTTATTTAAAAGAAACTGCAAAAAATAGCTATGAGTCTATATTGACAGGTATACAATGTACAAAGTTGTAGATTGTGATAATAACAACAGAAAAGAGAGGGAAGCAGCTCTACAGCAGTGAAGATTTTATACACTAGTGAAATTATTAGAACTAGGCCAGCGCCACGGCTCAATAAGCTGATCCTCCGCCTGCGGCGCCGACATACCGGGTTCTAGTCCCGGCCGGGGCGCCGGATTCTGTCCCAGTTGCCCCTCTTCCAGGCCAGCTCTCTGCTGTGGCCAGGGAGTGCAGTGGAGGATGGCCCAGGTGCTTGGGCCCTGCACCCCATGGGAGACCAGGAAAAGCACCTGGCTCCTGGCTCCTGCCATCGGATCAGCGCGGTGCGCCAGCCACAGCGCACCAGCCGCGGCGGCCATTGGAGGGTGAACCAACGGCAAAGGAAGACCTTTCTCTCTCTCTCTCTCTCTCTCTCTCTCTCACTGTCCACTCTGCCTGTCAAAAAAAAAAAAAAAAGGATTAAATTCTCCAATTAAAAGGCAAAAATTAGCAAAAAAAAAAAAAAAAAAAACCTAACTATACTGAATTTTACCAAAGATTCAATTCACATTTTTTTTTTGACAGGCAGAGTTAGACAGAGAGAGAAAGAGAGAGAGAGAGAGAGAGAAAGGTCTTCCTTTTTCCATTGGTTCACCCCCCCCAAATAGCCGCTAAGGGTGGCGCACTGCACTGCTGGAATCAACTTCTTCCAAGTTCTTGTTAATGTTGATAGGTTGACTTGCTTCTATAAATCACAAGTGTTCTTAATAGCATCTAGAATGGTGAATCCTTTCTAGAAAGTTCTAGAAAGTTTTACTTTGTCCAGATCTATTAGAGGAAACACTATCTATGATAGTGCTATGGTTTGAATATGATTTGTCTTTTCCCATTCATGCAGGAATTTAACCATAAAGTTTCATGTCATAATGGTATTAAGAGAGTGGAAATGTTATCCACTTATGCCATTTGGAGATGGAAAGCTTTGGAAATTGATTAAATTATATTAGGTCAATGGGGTGGGGCCCCCATTATTGAATCCTGGTGGCTTTATTTTTTTTTTAATTGTAGACATTTTATACACCAGTATAGCAACATCCATAGGCAAAGTCTCTTAGAGAATTACAACAAATAGCTTCATAAGGGCCATATATAGAATACATTTAAAGTATTAAAAGGTACAGTTGTCTCAATAGCAAAATTTAAAAGTTATATCCTGTTAATACATTTAACCCAAACTAACTTGAATGCTATGATTTACCGTTCAGAAAATGCAGCACAGAATAAATTTCTTGTCAAAAGCAGCTTGTTCTTTTGCCAAACTCTAAGTCAGTTAAGAGCATTACCCACTGAATCAGATGCAGAGGGACCCTCATCTTTAATACTGTTACTGTCCCACATATTAGTTTTAGTATGTTATTTTTAAAATAAAAACTTTCAAGGGCCAAACAGAAAATTACCAGTTTCTCTACAAAATAATTAAAATGTAATCTACATAGGCTTGAAAACAACTCAAGGGCTCAAATTCTTAAAGTGAAAACAAGTACAGAAAAATTGAGAAGTGGTGTATGTTTTCCACTTGTAATGATACTAAGGTGTGACAAATAGGTAGAAAGTCAAGTTTATATCCAGTAAGTCACTGAAAAGACTACTACATTCATTCAAGTACCATACAATTAGGGAAGATATGAGGACATGCTCAAGACACTGAAATGGTCAAGAATCAACATTTTACTAGTTTATTTCATCTTCCCAAACCATTACCATGTGAGTTGGATACACTGGCAAACAATTTAAAATCCACATTATGCAAAAGATCAAACACTTGTAAGCTGTGGAAATCAAAATTTAATGTTAAAAATATGTAAGATATTTAGATGCTATCTCGTTGGCTGTAAAAAGCAACTACAAAGCCAAATAACTGAACATAAAATATTGAGCAAGGTCTTCTTGGGAAAATGTGACAGTAATACCAAGGCTCTCCCTAATGTTGTTGCTTAACACTTTTACAGGAATTAATAGCCAGAAATCAGAAATTTATGACTGCCAATACTATCTTTGGATAGTTACAGTATGTGTTTAGAATATTGGAGAAGTGTGTGCTCATGGAATAAACAACACTATACTCTGACTGCCATAAATCAATGAAACACAACTGCATCTGGTGGACATGGTAGAGAAAATGGCAATTTTGCGTAAGGAGTGCTTTGAGAGGCATTTCCTTGAAGGCAGCCAAGGTTTTTCTTTCCCTCATTACTGAAAGATCAAGTAATGTGGTATGGTTACTTAAATTCCTACAACCAAACTTCCACTTAGGCATAGTTACATGTTCCCAAACTACTTTTCTTCCGTCCACCATGCTGGCTTGGATACTCCATGGTCCACTGCAATCTTTTGGTCTCCCCTCTCTGGAGCAGCCCCGCACTGCTATCCATTGAGTAGGTACACCACCAATTCATAGGTGGCTATCATAATGGCTGTGTTTGGAATCTGTCTCACCAGATGAGTTGTTAGGCCACGGTAAGGAGATCCATAACCTTCTTCTTGAACAACCAAAGAGAGTGTCTGAAAAAATGATCTATATTTTGTTCCCTCTTCACGTAGTCTTGTTCTTACAACTTCATGAGGGTATGCGATAGTTGTGGCACAAGTCTTTGAGGTGGCTGCAGCCAGCATCATTCCCACAAAATCTGATGCTTCCTTCACAGACTCTTCATCGTTTTCCATCATAGAGGCAGTCTTACATTCCAGCAGTTTTTGCTTTATACTTTCATAAATAACAAAGTGGATAACAGTCTCTGATATGCCAGCATAGGAAGCAGACATGCCCCTGTAAAATCCTCTAAGTCCATCTGTCTGATATACTTTGCGAACACATTCAAAAGCACCCAATCGCTTTTCCCCACGGCTCCTTGCATCAAGTTGTAACCGAGTCGTTATAAGCCAGATGGGGTTAGTTGCTGTGATTGCAGTAAAACCTGCCATTGCAGCTGAAATCATGTGTACCTGGGTAGAATGAGGATCAAATACACCACTCAACTTTTCCTTGCAGTTTGAATAAGCAGCAAAGTATATTGCTCTGGAAGGGGCTACCCCCACTAAATTGGGGCCTAATCCTCTAAATAGGAAACGAGGCCCTTCTTTTTCCAAGATCACCTTTAGGCAATGGAGAGGTCCAGGTGACACTGGTTGACACTGGCTCCGGCCATGGTGTTCAGCTGAACTTCAGAGATGTACAGTGTCACAGAAGATGGCTGCAGCCTTGTTTTCACAACTTCCAGTGGACATGTCAGAATAGCTCCCACTGCACCACCACATCCCCCAGCAAACAGATGCACCAGCGTGTCCCTCTGGCTCATTCTCTCTCCCGCATGTCCTCTCGGCGCCGAGGCGGGACGCGGATCCGGCCGCCCGCCACGGCGGACGGCTTCGGTCCCGATGGGAGACGCAGGGCGCCCCGGGGGACAGTGAGAAGAGCCACCGGCGCAACCCTCCCCGCGGCGCTCCCGCCACGCGCCGCCCTCCCTGGCTCAGCGATCTCCCCGAATCCTGGTGACTTTAAAAGGAGGCGAGGAGAGACCACATAGAAACAGAGAGATATGGGGCCCACAATGTGGTTACTGGTATAAGTCTTGGATGCTCTGTTTCTTATTCAGGTCTCCATTAGAGGCCTGAGAAGGCAGCAGAAGATGGCCCAAATACTTGGGCCACTGACACCCAAGTGGGACCCAAATGGAATTCCAGCTCCTGGCTTTGGTCTGACCTAACCCCAGCCATTGCAGCCATTTGGGAATCAGGCAGCAGATGGAAAAATTTCTCCCTCTGTCTCTCTGTAACTCTGTCTTTCAAATAAATCTTTAAGAAAGCAACAGAGAGACACACATGTGCTCCAAGCATGATGTGTTTCAGTCCAAGGGGGCGGGGCCCTCATAAGAACCTGTGCCATGCTCTTTGAACCTTCTATCTCCAGAACCATGAGACAAAATAAAACTCATTTTTTTCCATATAAAGTAGCCTGCCTCAGGTATTTCATTGTAGCAATGAAAGCTAACAAATACATGCAGTTGCAGCCTTAAAAACTATATTTCTAAGTAATAAACCTTGAAAGTTGGAGGAGGACATTTGGTTTAGCACTTAAGACACATACATCCCACATCAGAGTTCTTGGATTTGATACCCACCTAACTCCAGGTTTTGCTAATGCAGGCCCTGGGAAGCAGCAGTTATGGCTCATCCAGTTGGGTTCCTGCCACTCTTGTGGGAGACTTAGATTAAGCTCCTGTCTCTCAGCTTTGGCCTTGACTCCAGTGCCAGCTCTTGTGGGGATTTAGGGAATAAAACAGTGGATAGGAGCTCTCTCTCTCTTTCTGAAAACATGTACACAAAAAAATTTTAAAAATATTTAGAAGTCTAAATTACTCCTAGATTCATAGGCTGAGAATAAATTTTGTGTTTTTAGGCAAGAAAATAACATTAATCTCATTGTATATCTCCATCAGATCTTGGGCAATCAAGTGCATTGTCAACAAGTAGTAATATTTTAGAAAGGATATTTTTTCTAAGCAATTGGTCTCAATGACAGATTTAAAATATTTTGTAAACCAGGGCCAGCATTGTGGAGCAGGAGGTTAAGCACTTGCCTGCAATGCCAATATTCCACAGGGGCTCTGAATCAAGGCCCGGCTGTTCCATTCCTGATCCAGTTCCCTGCTAATGTGCCTGGAAAAACAGTGGAAGATGGCTCAACTACATGGGCTCCTGCGCCCACATGGGAGACCTAGATGAAGCTCCTCACTCCTAGCTTTAGCCTGGTCCAGAGCTGGCCATTGAAGCCATCTGGAGAGTGAATAAGCAGATGGAAGATCTCCCTCTCTTGCTCTCTGTAACTCTGCTTTTCAAATAAATAAATAAATCTTTTTAAAAAATGTTAGATGTACTGTCACTCAGGTTTTTTGTTCCATGCACAGAGAACAGGCAGATTGGATTTAATGCAATCCTTAAGGGCTCTAGCACAATAAATGACTATCAGCTTCAACTTACAGTCACCCACCAGTATTAGCTCCTGACAAAGCCTGTCCTTTGCAGCTGTGAAGCAGGCATTGACTTATCCTCCACAGCTATGCAGTTTCCATGGCATGTTCTTCCAACAGAAGCTGTTTTGCCAACCTGGAAAATAGGTTGTTTAGTGTAGCTACCTTCATCAGTTACCTTAACTAAATCTTCTGGATAACTTGCTGTAGCTTCCACATCAGCACTTACTTGCACTTTGATTTTATGGAGATGGATTTTTTTCCTTCAGTCTCAAGAACCAACCTCTCCTAGCTTCAAACATTTCTTCTGGAACCTTCTCACCTCTCACATCCTTCACAGAACTGAAGAGAGGGTCTTGCTCTGGCTTAAGGGAATGTTGTGGCTGGTTTGGTCTATACACCCCTCTAACATTTTCTCCACATCAGCCTTAAGGTTGCTTCACTTTCTCATTATTTGTGTGTTCACTAAAGTAGCATTTTAAAATTTCCTTTAAGAACTCTTCCCTTGCATTCACAGCTTGGCTAACTGGGACAAGAGGCCTAGTTTTGGCCTATCTTGGCTTTCTTTTGATATGGTTTCTTTGCTAAATGTAATTTACAGCTTTCAATTGAAAATGAGAGATATAGGACTTTTCTTTCACTTGACTAGTTGTAAGTCATTATAGGGTTTTTTTTTAAAGATTTATTTATTTATTTGAAAGTCAGAGTTACACAAAGAGAGAAGGAGAGGCAGAGAGAGAGAGAGAGGTCTTCCAGCCGCTGGTTCACTCCCCAATTGGCCACAATGGCTGGAGCTGTGCCGATCAGAAACTAGGAGCCAGGAGCTTCTTCCAGGTCTCCCACATGGGTGCAGGGGCCCAAGGACTTGGGCCATCTTCTACTGCTTTTCCATCCATAGCAGAGAGGTGGACTGGAAGTGGAGCAGCCAGGTCTTGAATCGGCGCCCATATGGGATGCCAGCACTTCAGGTCAGGGTGTTAACCCACTGTGCCACAGCGCCGGCCCCCACATACAACATTTATCAATAAGTTTGCCAGTTTGTATGGGTGAGGTTTGTGATGCCCTGTGAAATAATTACAATAACAACATCAAAGGTCCCCGATCACAAATAACCATAACAGACATAATAACGCTGAATAAGTGTAAAAGATTGTGAGAGTTACCAAAATGTGACACAGAGATATCAAGTGAGCACATGCTATTGGAAAAATAATGCCCAACAACTGTCCTGATGTGGGGTTGCCACAAACCTTCAGCTGGAACACAATATCTGAGGCAGGTGTTTGGTACAGCAGTTAAGACACTTCTTGGAGCAACCACATCTCCTATTCAAGTGCCTGAGTCTGAGTCCTGGCTCCACTTCCAATTCCCTCTTCCTGCTAATGCACACTTCAGGAGTCAGCAAGTGATGGCCCAGGTCCCTGCCACTCATGTGGAAGACCTGGATTGAATTCCTGGCTCTTGGCTTCAGCCTAGCCCATCTCTGACCATTGCAGGCATTTGGGAAGTAAACCAGGGGATGGAAGATCATTATCTGTCTCTCCATCTGGGTTTTTCTGCCTTCAAAATAAAATAAGCATATGAAAAGCACAATATCTGTGAAGCACCGTAAATGCAGTTTTTCTGTATAGGATTATACCCAGCCCCTTGTAAATTACGGTAATCCTGAGATATTTGGAAGATGAGAGGTTTAGAGCTGGCTTTTGTTCATTTGTATGAAACAACCCTATATGTTCATAACTGATCATCTCATTAAGAATTGTAGTGATATAAATTGATTTACCCTGTAAAATTTATCCTATTCAGGGCAGGTATTTGGTATAGTGGTTAAGACACTGGTTGGGTGCTGGCGCTGTGGCATGGCAGGTAAAGCTGCCACCTGCAGTGCCGGCATCCCATATTGGCGCTGTTTCATGTCCTGGCTACTCTTCTACTGATCCAGTTCTCTGCTATGGCCTGGGAAACCAGTATAAGATGGTCCAAGTCCTCGGGCCCCTGTATGACAGACCTGGGAAAATTTCCTGGTTCCTAGCTTTGGATCGGTGTAGCTTTGGATCGCCGTAGCTCTGGCTATTTCAGCCACTTGGGGAGTGAACCAGCAAATGGAAGACCTCTCTCTCTGCCTCTCTAACTCTGTCTTTCAAATAAACAAACAAATCTTTTTTTAAAAAAAAACCATACAATTGTATATAAATTGATTATCTGATCTAAAATGGGATTTCTCAAACTCAACACTTTTTACATTCCATATTGAATAATTTGGTGTAGTTCATAGAGAAAAGACAAGATCTCTGTTTGCTCCTTTTCTTTTATCTACAATTTTCAAAATAAGAAGTTCTGCAGAAGTGTCCTTGGGGATTTTTGTCTGTGTGAGTCTTCATGAGCCCATGAATGTAAGTATATTTGATTTATCTCAACCAGTGCAGTGAGTATTCTCAGTAATGTCCAAATTACCCTGCTAGCTGCAGAATACTTGCTTGCTAAGCCCTTTCGCATGACTCCAGTATTCCCTAAAAACTTTCTTGTTTTCTGGATGACACAAATGTACATTTTCTGCCCCAAATCTGGAACCAGCCATGTTTCCAAGAAGCCTTGATTTCTCCTATTGGGAATTGGTAATGAGAGACCAAAATCCAGGCATTGTTTGCTACTGTCCTTATTTCAAGGCTTTCTCAGTAATCAGAGCTGGTAAATATTTTCTCTTCTCTTTCAAGATAAAACATTGTGGGGGCCAGCGCTGTGGCGCGGTGGGTTAAAACCCCAGCCTGAAGCACCAGCATCCCATATGGGCACCCGTCCAAGACCCGGCTGCTCCATTTCTGATCCAGCTCTCTACTAAAGTGCTTGGGAAAGCAGCAGAAGATGACTCAAGACCTTGAGCTCCTACATCTGTGTGAGAGACCTGGAAGAAGCTCCCGGCTCCTGGCTTCATATTGTTGCAGCTCTGGCCACTGCGGCCATTTGAGGAGTGAACCAGCAAATGGAAAGATCTCTCTCTCTGCCTCTGCCTCTCTGTGACTCTGCCTTTCAAATAAATAAATAAATCTTTTTTAAAAATTATATAAAAATATTGTGAATTCATAGTGGTACTTTCAATTCAGATGAATGATCCAATATATTTAAATTAATCTCTTTGTTTTTAATTTGTATCTCTTCCCATACCAAAAATCCTGATTTTTTTAGTTAATCTAACAAAATTTCTCATTTGCTTTATCCTTCAAAAAAACACTCTCAGAACACAGCACCAATAATATGATTATAGAAAATAGTTTACAATTTGTTTTGTCCTTATAGTCCACAAGAGATGTATAGCGAATTTACTATGTTTTTGAAGCTTTTATTTTTTTAAAGATTTATTTATTTATTTAAAAGTCAGAGTTACACAAAGAGAGGAGAGGCAGAGAGAGAGGTAGAGACAGAACA